GAAAAAAGAAACGCAAGAAAAGAGAGGAAGACAAATTATTTCCTGGGGGCTGCCCAGTTTGTTACAGGCCCACTTTGTCACAGGACAAACTACAGTTTGTCATAGGTCCAATTTGTCACAGGCCCAGTTTGTCATAATTTCATTTTAGTATTTGAGTATTGATGACAGTCATAATTAGAGCACTTTAACACTGTAGTCGTAACTTAAGCTTTTTAAAAATCTCCACCTTCAAATTGGTTTTGTAAATATAGTCCCTATTAAATATCAATTCAGCTTGTATTGTTCAATATTTTTTCCTTTTTGTATGCAGATCAAAACAAATTACTTTGTAAAATTTCAACAACGAATGTTATTTCGTTAAAAACAGTTGAACAATATAATTCAATTCATTTTATCAATCAGTCATTCATTTACTCTTTTTGAGAGTGTCATTGATAACTTCCATCATGCAGGGCACAGTCGAGGCCTGTGACAAACTGGGCCTGTCACAAACTTGCTTGCTTTTCATTTTCTTGGCCTAAAATTAACACAGTTAGTTATTTTGATTGGTTAAAGTTGTTAATAAATAATTTGACAGTTAATGTATTTCTTTGTTGTATTCCTTAATAAACCACTGTTTTTATTTTTAAAATTTAAATTACACATCAAAGATTTAAATATATAAAATGAATCCAGCACAGGTTCTATTTAAATGCACGTGTACATTTTGATTGACGTCAACTAAGGAAGGGTTCGACCTGTGTTAGATGACAGAGGATGACAAGGGAGGAGGGAGAAATCATTTTTTGCCGAATTTTAGCTGTCTTCATTTTTGAACGGTCCTAACTCAACTCACAACGTTTACAGTCTTCTCTAGCTCAACACAAAACGTACACACTCTTTGTTAGAACACACAATGTATACACACACACTTCTCTAACTCAACACACGACCTGCCCACTCTTCCTGGTACACGGTGTTGTATGTCCTGTTTTTTAGTGTCGTGCAGTCCACTCTTTTTCTACATACTAAAATTCCAATACGTAACTTAACGCGTATCCTTGCCATTCAAAAACATTGAAACGCATCCTTTTGGAGTACTAATATAAGCATAATAACTTCAACTTTTAAAATCTTTTTTTTTTTTTTTGGGGTGTAGGGGGACATTTGAAAGTATGAAAATGCATCCTTTTGGAGTACTAATAGAAGCATAATAACTTTATTTTTCTTACAGACTTTTAATTTTTTTTGTGTGTGTATCTGAAACTTTAAAAGTCGGGCAATGACATGTATTCTATGAAATGTTGAAATCTTTGTCTCTGGTTTGTGAATGTGGGTTCGAAACGATGTTCACAACGAAGATAAAGCTATGTCTCTCAGAAACGGGAAACAACGGGTTTATTGTGATTGTCGTGATTCTATACGTCAACGAGAATTAGATGCTGCTGTTGGACATATCCTTTATAATTGTTTGTCCATTAGGAAAAATGTGCAAAATCATACAGGTTTCGCTCCCCTTGCATCACCGTAAGATTATTTGAGAGGTGGGACCTCCGAAAATTACGTCTGTTTCCGATAGGACCGAAAAAATGTAATGAAAGATTCTTGTTGAGCGCCTTTCCCAAAATGCCCCTTTAGTGCAGTATAAAGTAAGACAGGTAGACAGAACAACAGAGGGAAGGAAAGGAGCAGAATCTATCAGTGGCGCTCTCTAGACATTGTGTTTTTGGGTGTTTTTTAATGTTATGCCCTCATAGTTTTCTATGTTACACTCACATAGGTTTAATGTTACAGTTTCTCTCTGTTCAGCTCATCGCTGTCAGATGTGAGGCAACATGTTCCAATAACTTTGATATTGTCAATGATGGTATTGTAATGTCATCTCCAGGCGGTATGGCGGCTGTGATGTACACTGACACTTTACAGACTGCCGTCCTCATTGTGGGGGCGGCCATTTTGAGTGTGATTAGTAAGTGCTGAAATGTGAGGCATCTTGGTGAGATCAGGCGCTCATCAAAATAATCAAATCCGAGAAATCGGGAAATTTTGGGCCAGTTTGGACTTTTGTTTTTTGGGGGGAATTTTTTTTTTTTTTTTTTGGAGGGGAGGGGCTCAACACCTTGTATCTCCATTGAAAAACACTTTTTTGCGTGCATTTTATGGAAAATGTTGATTTAAGGCACAAAAAATGAAAATGTCCAGTTTCCAAGGACCCTAAAGCTATAGAAGTCACCAAATTTTGGCGGCCATTTTCTCGTTAATGTTAATTCTGAAACCAGGCGATCCCACCGCCCTCAATTGCAAATATCTCGACTTCTATTCAAGAAAAATTGATAGTTTTTTCATTGAAAGCAAGGCAAATGCATAACCTTTTAGATGATACCTATAACTCTTTGTGCCCCAAAACTAACGAACGCCTGATTCCACCATGATGTCTCACAAATAATTACAAAGTACCCGTAGTGTCTTAACTCCTACTATACTGAAAGCAACTTACTTCATGTTTGTACGCAACAAATCTTGTCCAATTCTTCATCATCACAAACTTACATGAAAACTTCGCTCATATTTGGCCAATTTTAAGAACAAGCGGGCCAACCCAGTTTTCGGGGGTTTCCAGAAATCATGACCTACACAAAAAGTGGGCATTGTCCTACCTATAAGAGAAGTTTGGTTTCATTGGTGTCATCTCTTTGGTTATAGAAAAAACTCTCAACAAGGATCCAAAAACTTTACCTTCGACTTTCTCAAAACAGCATTTTTCAGGATAACCCCCTTGTGCTTAAAAGCGACCATTTAAAGTACTTGCTATAAATAAAACCCCAAACTTAATAGACATACGAGTTGTGAAATGAACTTACGGTGTGAAAATACATTTGCATGTAGATAAAATAGATATTCTATTCTGTTGTTACGTAGATTTCAGCAATAACTGTAAAGAACTGAAAGATGCCGTGTGTCAGCGGCACTGATGAGCTGTGCGGTCATCTCATAATTATAAGGACCTACCAGACATTTTGGCAGGTTTGAGTTACTAAGACCTAGAGGCCAGAAACCAAATTAAATGTTCTCTATCGGCTCTATCAAAATAGTAAAAAAAATATTTGGAGTCGTCATCAAGATATTCAAAGAATGGCATTCGAAAAAGCTTGACATATTGTGAAACCCAACAATTTTGACATCAAATTTCTCAAAACTAGGTACTGAGCAGATATCATTTTATTGCAATTTTGAGATAGCGGAATACTAAGAGTTAATGAGTCTGTTGACCTGACTCTGTTGACCTTGTAATGTTGGGTCAACAGAGGGGAGTCGTCACAGCTGCATTCAGCGGAATGGAAGTTGATAACATAATTACAACAATATCTAGGGCCTAGTGCAGACAGGACACAATGTAATAATTTCAGTGTCAGCTGTACCGTTATGTTTTTTTAGTACGTTAATCTCGTGTGTCTGTGTAGGTTCTAATTTGCCCGTAACTGATCTTAATTATTCTAAATTCGGTGGGACGTTAAAAGTCTTTTCATAACTATAAATATCTATGGCGTCGTGCAGACAGGACATAATATGTAATAATTTTAGTGTCAATTGTATCGTTATGTTTTATTAAGTTATTCAAGTGTGTCTGTGTAGGCCTAATTCGCTCATAGCTCTGCCGTCGTAAGGGAAAACGACGAATGGTCAAATTTTTTCTATTTTTCTATTTTTACACATTTCATAGAGTAATTAATTCTGCATCTGATGGTGTAAAAATTTTAGTCATATCCTAATCCGTTGTGGTATAATTGAGAGTTCGTCGTTTTCTCTTACACTGGCGAGCTCCGAGCCAGAGCTCAGTGTAAGGGAGAACGACGAATGGTCGATGGGTCAAGGATCACTGCTCGTTCGGCGTTGTCCCCTGTCTGGTCTTAAGTGTTCAAAAATATATCCACGAAGAGTTAAAAATCTTCTTATAATATTAAAAATATCTATAGCGTTCTGCAGACGCGACATAATATTATAACATAGCAATTTCAATGCCAGTTGTATCGTTTCGTTTTATTGCGTTATTCATATGAGTCTATGTAATTCGCTCCTAACTTATCTTAATTATTATCTAAGTAGTGTCCAGGGGTCGTTAAAAGTCTTCTATTACTTTTCAAGAATTTGATTATTATGTTATGTTTTCTTTTGCGTTTGTATGTCCAGTTTTTCTTATTAAGTGACTCTACTTCATGTTGGGTTTTTTTAGTATGTAAGTCCTGCATGTGTTTCTTATGTATCTTTGTGTTTTCTTTTGCTGTTGTGTCAGTATGGTATGTGTGTTTTACGGGTAATTATGATTATAATTATAGTAATAAAGATTAGATATTGTTATACCGCGATTACTACATATTATATTACATGCATTGTGTTCTTATCATCTTATTACTATTTTTATTACTGTCCATGATAATTATTATATTGTGCGTTATTTTCATTGTTATTATTATTTTTATTGTTATCACTATTATTGTTGCTGTTGTTGTTGTTGTTAT